CCAGGCGTTAGTGACAGACGTTACGTAGTTGGGTGCCTTCGTCTGTTTTTGCTGCTTTTGCGAACAAATTAGTCTGTAGCGCAACAGGGTTCGAAAACTTTGAATGTCGACAATGAGATCCTATAACAGTAGGTACTAATACTATTAGCCACAGTAATTATTACACACACACACACACACACAGAAAACCGTAGGCGCGTATAATAAATGGTTTATTGAATTGAGTGGTATACAATTGGCAGAAATAAAATAGATTTGAATAGTAAGGCTCTGAGGTAACAATGGCAGCGGAAGTGTGAAACGGAAATTGTTATAATAAAGAACGAGAATTTATAGTGGTTACAGTTTGTGGTATTATAGCCGACGCTGTAGAACGCGTCGAATTGCCATAACAATACCGAAACAGATTATTGTGTTTCTGCTTATATCGCAGTTGTGTATCTGACAAGGTCAGTTTAATACATGTCACAGCAAATTACTGTAGTATAACGACAAATATTTATAGCAAAATGTAATAATCAATTATTTAAGATGTGAATGCTTGAGCAGTTGAATAAATTTCTAAAATACATTTTTTACAAATTTCATACTAATATAATAAATGAAATAAAAATTATTTTACAATATATAAGGTAAAGTCTTGTTTTGACCAAAAAATGTATTGCATTATATTAAGGATTTTAAAAATACATTAGATTTTCTATAGTATAATACTATGTTCTTACAGTCAAATTTCCTTAATTTCGTAAAAATGAAATTAAGTTAATTTCAAGTGTTCATACTGCCCCTAATTAAGGAAATCATATGTTTTTTGTTTACAAATCGAATGTTAAAAATTATATGCTTTAAACACCAATTGTATCTGGCAAATTTAAAAACTTGATTATTTTAACGATAAAGTATGGCATTCAGTAGTTTTATTAGCTTTAGCGGATTTCAGGTATGTGAAGCATTATTTTTCACTCCATTTTAAATTAATAACAGCTACAGTTTTTTCTTTATATTCAAATTTAAAAATTTGCACCACTTTCAAAATAATTCCCGGTTTTATTAATTGTTATTAATTTATCAATTGTCCTTGACATTTATTTTAAAGAAATGTTATTTTTTCGTTATCTCAACTTTATCTTTTGCTTAGAATTTATCTTACGCATAGTTGCATGAAAAATGTTCCTTAAATTCAGCCTTTAAGGCCTTTTCCTTAATTTCCTTCTAACCTCAAAACTGAAAAACATTTTGTATGGATTTTTGGGAAACTAAGGTGTGTCTGAACATTGTATAAAACATATATTACACTGTAAATAAATTAAATAAATTTAGAAAATAAATCTATTATCTGAAAATGTGGAATCTTCGGTTTTTATATTTGAAAAAAAAAATACATTTAAAGTGAAATGAAGACTAATTTGAATTAAGCTTTTTTTTATCTAGGAATTCATTCTTATATAATGAAGACGTATGAGAACACTAACCAAATTGGTCAATAATACCTTAAGATAAGGTATAAGGTATTTATTAAGGTAATAAACCTTAAGATGATTCAATTAAGCTGAAATTTTAGTTAGATTTTTAACTGGATTTTATAGAATCAACAAAAAAATTTTGAAAAAAAAATTAAATTTTTTGAATCCATCTCGATTTTTTAATATTTTAATATGACATTTATAACTTTGAGATGGTCAATATATGACATTTTTTTATGTACACTAAAAATGATTTACGAAGTTAACCGAAATGTTTGTAATAATAAAATTGTATAACATTATATATCGAACCGTATTAAATGTTAATTTTTTATACCTAACACAAAAGTAATTTGTTAAAATTTTCTATTTAAAAAAAATGTAATATAAACTGAGAATAAAAATAATCAACAGAAACTGAACGTACCTTATAAAATCATCCATTTATTGTTAACTCATTAGATAAGTGATGTACAGATCAAGTCAATTCTTTTGTTTTCATATAAAAAATAAAAACTATAATTACTTTTTTGACAATATAACACGTATTATGCACTATTTCCTTCACTATTTACTGTTTAAAACTTTAGAATGGTTTATTTTTTTTTTTGTTACGAACACTACAGATTTATTAAACTATAAAAAGCATGTTTTGTTTTTTTTTGTATAAAATTGTCATTATATTTATACTATTTCAATTATTCAGGCAATCCGTGCCGCCTACCGGATACCTTTGTATATCTAACCGAATATCATTTAAATTAAAAAATATTTTTATTGTGACTATTGCATTATATCTAATTAATTTAGTTTTATTATTTCGTTTTATTTGAAACAGTACAAAAATATTAAAATGATTTTTTTGGTGACTAAGTTCGAAGACGTGCGGTTCAATGCTTTTCGCACTGCAACTTTTGACATTGTCATCAATTAACGCAAAACTGTCTCATGTTTCCCTTGAATAGCTTTTTTTGGTCTAAAAATGTTAATTTAAACGATTTAAGTATACAGGGTAACACTAAATGATTTAATAGTTTTATAAACACTATATAATTAAATTGTCGTATATAAATGATAATTTTAATAATGGTTATTTTAAAACTCTGTGGTTCGAATTTAATAGAGTTTAATTCATCATAATTGCTATCCAAAAATGTTATAAGGATAATTAAATCAATAAATCTTTTCAAAGTGCGCTAATAACGGATATATGACAATATGTTATCTAAAACAGCTGTATTGTCAGATCAAAAATTCACTTAATTAAAATGATGCATTGACTCTGAGCTTCATATTTGGCAGGGCAGGAATTCGATTCGTGGTACTTACATTCTCAAAAAATTATTTGCGACTAATTAAATACAAAAATTATTGCCAAGACCACTGATGATAGGTATTTGGCAATTCTCGAAACAGATGTATGGTCAGCCAAAAATTCAAATAATTAAATATAATATAAAATGAATTTTTGTTGTTGTAGTTCTTAATTAAAATTTTAAAATGTTTGAATTTGAAAATTTCCTTCCTTTATTCGAAATAGATATTTTGTTATAACATAATATTTTAATTAAACTTATTTGTAAAATATTTTAACAATATGAAGATTTAAAAAAATATTATTGTTTGTAATTTCTCCAACAGTAATATTATAATGTAAGATATTTAAAATTATTTTTAAATATTTAAACAATTATGATAGCTTGAAATCTGTGTTGAAATGAAAACACCCAGTAAATTTAAAAACTTATAGTTTACAATAATAAATAACCAAATAAATCGCATAATCTTCACTTACGTGCTTCATTCAAAATTTTGCTTATTATTAAACTTTCAGTTTGTTTCTTTTACTAAAAATTTTGTTACTGCCGAAATTAGTGGAAAAACAGTTGTCTGTAAAGAAATAAAAAAATAACATATGTTTTATCTAAATGCTTTCAAATATTAATTTAGATTTTATTAAAAAAATTGTTTTTATGAAAATGAAAAAGTGAAGATAAAATTGAGCTAGTTAAGAAGCTATAAAATGTTTCAGATAAAAATAAATACAAATCTCAGCAATTAATAAACTAAAAATTACTTTTTTAACAATAAATTAATTTAAAACTTAGAATAATCAAGGTAGCAAATCTTACTTCATAAACTGATTACATCGCAACAAGCCTTTAAAAACTTTTTATGTAGATTAACTTTTCAATATTATATACAACAATATATACAATATAAATTTAAGAATCAATTTTAAAATAATAAATTAATTTAAAACTTAGAATAATCAAGGTAGCAAATCTTACTTTATAAAGTCATTGTATCGTGAGCAGGCTTTAAAAGGTTTTTTTATATAGGTCAACATTTCAATATTCTTTATATCTTATGAGTATTTTAAATAACATGACATTGTTACTATTTAGTATATTAAAATAATCTTAAAGTTATATGTTAAGTCATCAGCATATCAAATTTTATTTTTTAAGACTTTTTATGCAGTTTGATTATTATTCTTGCCGATTTTATTATTTTTTTAATTATTTACGTTTAGCCTATCAGGTACTGAAATAAAATACTTGCAAGTCTACAAATTTAAAGGTTAAATAATACAATTAGTGTCTCGTATACATATAGAGTACATAACTTATCTTTTTTAAGAGTGATATATTCATTCCAATGCTAGAGGTTAAATAATACAATTAGTGTCTCGTATGTATATATAATATATAGCATATCTTTTTCAAGAGTGATATGCTCATTCCCATGCTAGAGGTTAAAATAAAAGAATTAATGTCTCGAATACATAGACAATACATAACTAATCTTTTTTAAGAGTGATATACTCATTCCAATGCTAGAAGTTAAATAATACAATTAGCGACTCGTATACATATACAATACCTCCAGCTCAAAAAGTACACGGATTTTGTAAATAAAACACAAATTTAAATTTTATTCCAAATTTATTTTATCTCCTTCAAAATATGCTCCTTTTGAAGCGATACACATATGCTAACGCTTAACCCAATCTTCCATACACTTATCATAGGCCCGTGCAGGTATGACTTTTAGTTCCTTCGGCGAAATCTCTTTTACCGATTGAATCGACTCAAAACGCTTAAAACGAAGGGTAATTTGAGTTTCGGGAATAGGAAAAAGTCGCTCGACGCCAGATCTGGCGAATACAGTTCCTAAGCGATGACAGTGGTGCCGTGTTTAGTCAAAAAATCGCGTACAACAAGAATTTTTCATAGTAAAAATCGCTAAATGCACTTGAAATAGTCTCACATTAACAGCTGCTGTAAACAAACTAATTGATAGATGGCGCTCAAATTTGTACCATATGTCAAGAAAGGGTGTACCAACATAACAAAAAAAATTTCTTAAAAAGGTCTATTAATTATGTTAAGGAGTAGTTAACAAACAACAAAATCCGGATACTTTTTGAGCAAAAGGTATATATAACTTGTCTTATTCAAGAGTGATATATTCCAATGCGGTAATTTTGATGTGTTTTTATAGAATAATTTATCTTTGGTCTACGAATAGATTTTAATTTCGGTAATTACTTATTCTTTAATGTCAAGAATTGCTAGATCGATTTATAATATACTGTATTTTCTTGTTGCTTTCTCATTCCTTATTGAAGATCGTTTTTTCTGTAAGTTCATTTTGCAAGCCACGTTATACGTTATTGATGATTTTCAAAGTAATTGATGGAAAAAATTTTGTGTGTCTCTTAAAATCAAAAGACAAAATCTTATCAAACTGAAATGTGCAGATGTTAGTCACTTTCGGAATTTTTAGCCGACTTTTGACCACTCTTGTGATTGTTGATTTGAGTATGAACTTTAGCATTGGATTCATGTTTTATCCATGGTCACATACTGCACAATAGAATAAGAATTGAAATAATAGAATTTTGTTATACCAAAATAACGCCAAATAATGCTCGAAATCATCAATACTTTATTGGTTTAGGTAACGTATTTCTTATTTCTACATTTTCCAAAAAAGAATTTTTTTGAGCAGTAACTATTATAAACAATACTTTATTTTTAAAACCGTAGATTGGTTTCAATGTACAATTATGTTAAGCTGATAAGTCGAATTTTTTTGTATTCGTTATATTTAGCTAAAAAATTTTTTTCAACATTTTAATGGGCATGTCATTTGTTTAAATAATTAAAATTATTTAAGGCCATATGCTTCCCTACAAGAGAAGGACAGCAATCAGTAAGTCATAACATTATTAACTTAAATTATTTAATATAAAATTTTTGGAATTTATTTATCGACCTGTTTTTTTTATAATGCTTTTTATATATATGTTTTTATAAAATTAATTTTTTTTATTATATTCTATATTTCTATATTTCCGTGAGCGTCATCATCAGGATCACGATCTATCATAAATTAATTTTACTAAAACAATATATACGTCATCTACTTTATTCTAACGTTTATATTGTACTGATACAGTACAATACAATATAGTACAATACAATATAGTACAATACAATATAGTATAATACAATATAGTACAATACAATACAGTACAATACAATACAGTACAATATACACGTTAGAATAAAGAGGATGACGTAGATATAGTTTTAATAATATTATTTTATCTTAGATCGTGGTCCTGATGATGACTCTCACGGAGAGTCTAAATATAGAATATAATAAAAAATATTAAACGTTGAATTATTTAACATAAAAAAGTGACCTATAGCCGGATTAAAAAATATATGAAAATCATTAAATCATATAAGTTATATAGACGTTATGTACTTTAAAATATTTATATTAGCTTAAGCTTTCATTTTATATGTAGTAGCTTTCATTGAGAAGAAAAATAAATATTTATTAACAATATTTATGAATCCGCTAAAAATTAAATTGAATTAATTTTAATAAATTTTTATATAGGAATATAATTTTTCTCCAACACAACTTTTAAAAATTTATTTAAACTTTTCTTAAAAAAAAATATTTTTCTTTTATAACTTTTAACTAAGTTTATTTTATACGAAATTCTATTCTTTCAAAAATTTGTTTCCATTTACTCAATATATTTTTATTCTAAAAATGAAATGTAACCAAATTTAGAAGTTCACGGTTCAAATAAAGTGCTTGAAAGCGAAAATTCAACTGGGAATATAGTGTAAATATATACTAAAGTGGCGACCTTTTCTGTGCATGTTGGTGTATGAATGCAAGAGTACTAAAAAAAATTTTATTGACAATATTTCTGGCAATTGAAAATATGCTTTCTAGAATAGCAATATATACAGTTGAAAAAACTGAAAGTAGGAAAATAAAGTTACAAACTTGACTCGTTGCCAATTCCCCAGACAAAGTAAAAAATTAAAAGTGAATATTGCACATACTTGGATAGACACTAAAAACAAGAGATTTAATACAAACGTTTAAATATGCATGGCAAATAAAAGCTAGTCAAGAGCATAAGTAAAAATGTTGAAAGAATATACATACAGATTTAGATATGAGTAGTTATATATAAAGGTATATTAACTCCAGGGAATAATATTTATATTAAATATTTAATAGGTCAAAGCAAAATTTAATGCACAAATAAAACAATTTTTTCTGATATTGTAACATTGCCATAAACATATTATTTGATATTTGACTCAAATATTATAGAATTATTATAAATGAAATTATTTAGTGATGTTGATCATAATAGGTTTTTTAATTATTTTAAGGGTATGTATCGTACTTATACGAGTAATCAAAGATGTCTTAATGCAAGAGACAAAAATATAAATACAGTCAAAGTTCCATAACTCGAAGTACCATTTTCCAAAAAATGATTCGATTTATAGAGAATTCGAGTTAGAGAATTATTTTATTTTTTTTTTAATTTGAAAGAAACTAGAATTACATTTTAAGATATTTATTTATTTATTTGAAATTAAATACATCACAGAAGTTATAGTGAAGCAAAATATTCAGAAATTAGGGTTTAGGAATTTTATTTTTTTTCTTATTTTAAAAAGAGTAAAAAAAGATTCCAATTTATTTAAACCCTTATAGTGATCATCAGTTGGAGTATCATTTGTTTGTAAATAAATATTCAGAATTTTGAATGAGTCTTCTACTTCATTCCTGGAAGACTGATAAACAATTTCATCCGCTGAAATCTCATCATGACTTATCGTTGCGTTTAGAATCGGATCCGCTAATTCAGAGCTATAATGTTCAATAATATCGTCATCTGTAGGCAAGGTTGATCTACAAAATTCATTGACAAGCTTAATATATTCGTTAAGAGTACCATTGGAAGCTATTTTTTATTTATTTTAAATCACGCTGCAAGCGACTGGTATTTGCACAAAGACGCAACATAAGAAAGAAAAAAAAAACCTTTTGTTTTGAGAAAAGAGACTTCTCCTAACACCAAAATGGATTCATACTTAAAACAAAAATTCGACTATTCGAGTTATGGAGAAATATTTTTATTAATCAACAGTTGTGACTGATTTTCAGTCAAAATCAGATTTTAACGCCTAATTGCAATATTTGTACCGAGATCCTGAAGGGTTTCAGACACAATAACTCAATAACTCTTCTTCCGCTCCTCCATATGTAAATATTCTATTATAAAAATCTAAATTTAAAAAGCAATTTTTTTTTACTATTCCATTAATATTACAACTATCATAGATATCTAGTAATACTTTTAACAAATGAAGTTTGGAAGTTTGAGTCATCTTAAATCATCATTTAAGATAACATGTTAGTGATAATTTCAATTCATTTCATACAATTTGAATATATAAATAGTTTTTTTTTTTTGTAAAGAACAGAATTTAACTTAATTTAATACTTAAGTAGGTTGGAAGTGTGCGTTTTAGACGTTTTTTGTACCCTAG